CATGGCACACAGCGATGGCGACTGCCGCCGCCGCCGCCGCCGCCGCTCCATGCGCAGGGTATCGTTCCCGCATGCGTCCCGCCAGCGCGCCCGCCTGCCGCCACGCCCACCCAATCGACCCGGCGCCGCCGCCGCCCAGCAGGCGCTGCCAAGGCACGACATAGCACCTGCCTGAGCCAGCACCTGCACCCCCCACGGCCCGCCGCCCATCCACCAGAAACAAAGTGCCCAGGCCGCAGCGGCCCCTCCTCTGCCCGCAGCCCGCAGCCCGCCGCGCACGGACACCCCGCGTCCCGACCCCGCAATTCAAGCCTGTGCCTGGGTGCTGCCTCCCACCTCTGCGCCTTGAATTCCTTCATGATCTCCAGAAAAGTGTCGTACACGTCCTTCCTATCCGCAAACTTGTTCTTGACGTCCCGCAGGTATGTCAGCGCGTCGCTGGTCGTCAGTCGCGCCGCCGACGAGGAGCCGCCCGCCGGCGGGCCGCTGCGGGCGGGGCGCGGGAGGTGGGCGCGCGAGAGCGCGGAGCGCGCGGGTGCATGGGGTAGGGCACGTCGGTTGGGGGTTGCAGGATAGCGGCCGGCGTCGTCAGCGAACTCGTGTCCACTGTCGCCATCCGTCCTATGCATGACATTTATCAAAAAACATATTTCACGACGCTGGTCTCTCTGCATCGACCTTCTCGCAACGGCGAAATCGCGCCCTCGTGCTGACACCCGACTGGAAAACGATCTCGAGACCGAGGCAGCTGCGTGTCCCCGCCCCCCTTGGCGTCTGTATATGCAACCAAATCCCCATGCTGCAGGGGAAGGCACCACACTGCTGTGCAGGTTGCCTGTGGCACTGGGTGCTGCAACCACAGCTGGGCAGGGGAACACAGAACTCTGCTCTGCAGCCCCACACCTGCCAGGACGTTTGGCCGCGCCCCCGGACATTGGGTCTCCAGCTCTCTTCATTTCCTCCTTGTCCTGGGCTCACAGGGCCCACAAGCACTAGCTGCAGTCAGCTGGGCTTTCTCCAGCTCTGACTGTATACGGTGTTGTGAGGTTGCGAGGTCGTGCTCTGCTCAAGAATACAATGCCAAGACCCTGATGTTGTGGGCTGCAGGCTCTGCAAACCTGCCCAAGAGCAATTTCGGGGAGCAGGCCTCCTCGCCTTCACCTTCGCCACGACAGCAATTTGCGCGAGCTGCGACCATCTTTTGTATATTCCCCGGCCAACGAGCAGCACCGTGCACCGCGGTGTTGCCCAGCGATGCTGGTGATCTTTGGGGGGGAGTGTGCAGTGTGCCTGACCTTCCTTGACACGGGGATGTTCTGCAGGCGTGTGTTCGCCTAACACGTGTCTGATTCAGAGCTCTGTTGACCGCCTTGCGCCTTCCCACCATGCTCGGCCCCGTGGCAACAGCCACAGCCAACAGGTCAGCCGAACATTGCGTGCGTTATCGAGCCCCGGGTGGCAATGGGTGCTTGATTTGTGATGTATTGCTTTTAAAAAGCAACATGTTGCACAGTCCATACCTCGAATCCACCCAGCGGCCTGCGCCCATACAAAAAGCTCACTCCGCTGGCCCGAGGGGCGAATTCTGGACGAAAGTGAAATGAAAATTGAAATGGGTTTTTCAAAAACAGCCGTGACAGGAACAGCGCTCGTAGCCCGCGGGTCAAACAGTCCAGTCAAAATTGCGGACACACACGCCACCACCTGCCGTGCCGCGCGCCACACTCCCCTCACTTAATCGGAAGTCATAATGCATGTAAGCTACGCTTGTATATTCTCTGGCCGCTTCAAGGGCGGCCCGCAGCTGTTTCGCCATCGGTCTCGTAGGTGGTGAAAAATCCAAGCCAGCGGGCAGGTTCATACTGCGCGCGCGGGCTCCCGCGCATACACGGCCTCGAAGAGCTTGCCCCACGCCGCCGCATCCTCCCCCGGCCCTTCACCCTCAACACTCTCTATCGCAAACGCGCGCCCCTCCGCCGCCGCCGACCCGAGCGCCTGCACGACCGCCTCCGCCACGGTGATGCGCGACGCCTCCCCCCTCAGCGTGTCGCGCGGTGACATCACCACGTCCTTCCGGCTGCCAGCGGTGGCCTTGAGGAGCGTGTTGAGGTCGTATGAGGTGTATGGGCCGTCCGTGAGGCGCGAGGGGCGCAGAAGGATGTAGGGAATGCCCGAGGCCTCCAGCGCCTGCTCGCTCTCACGCTTGTAGGTGAGTACGCCTGGTAGGGAATTTCAGGTTGGAGAAATGAGGTAGCAACGAGGGAAGAGTGTGGTAATGAGTGTGTTGAGCAAGAACTGCGTGCCTGCTGATAAATGCGTCGGAAGAGCAGCGGAACGGCGCCAACCGCAGGTGCACACCCTTGAATAAGAAATTGCCTGCTGCCATCCCCGTGCTGCCACCGCCGCATTTGAGATGCACTGCAACCTCCCAAGTAACCCAGCCCATCAGGCAGCTGCGCGCCCTGTGC